AGCTCTACTTTATGAGAACAACAGTGAAGAGAGTTACTAAAGTCACTAGAGTAACATTACTCTAGCAAAAGGTATATAAGGAGGCCAGTTTGGCCCTCAAAAGATAGTTTTATCAACTTAAGTTACCTAGTACTTGGAAGTACTCTACTACCAGTCTACTAGGCTACACTTGTAGCTTGACTAAAGTAGGACTCCTCTACCCTCTCACACTACAAGTCTACAAGTCTTACCCTCTATACTCTATTCTGTTACTATTCCTAAGGATTAGGACTAGTAAAGTGAGTATATCTTACAGATACTGACAGTAAAGGTTACTTAGTGTACTATAATAATAAAATTACTGTTGAACACAATGTACAATTCATAGACAAGCTAATGTCTAGGATTGAAGGGGAGAATAATCATAATGATAATACATCAAACAATAATAAAACTCTTCCTAATAACAATAATAAAGACAAAGAACATATTATACAACACTCTACACAAGAGCAAAGACTGGTTAAACAAATTATAGGTTTAAATTACAAAGATAATATAAACCTAGTTATGTATCTAACAGAATTTAATGAATTCCTTAACAAAATCTATAGTAATCCATTAATGTATTACAATACTATAACATGCATAGACAAAGAACAGTAGATTAAAGCTATGAAGGATGAAATACAGTCACTTCAACAATGAAATGTGTGGATATATACTATCCCCCCTACAAATACAAATATAATTGGAACAAAATTTGTCTACAAAATCAAAAGACTAGCTAATGGCCAAATAGACAAATACAAAGCACAATTTATAGTGTAAGGATACACTCAAAAGAATAGAATAGACTTCTATTCTACAACTTATTTGCCCTAGTAACAAAACTATTAACAGTACAATTATTGTTATCTTGGGTAGCATCTAAGAACTACAAAATACATCAGATAAATGTAAAATCCACATATCTTTACAGAGAACTAAATGAGGACAAACTCATTTATGTGAAACCACTGCCAGGCAAGCTACTTACAGATATCAAACCTGGACAAGCATTATGTTTAAATAAAGTATTATACAGATTGAAACAAGCAGGTAGACAATGGTACAAGAAGATTACCAAACTACTGCTTAAGATTGGATTAGAATGAGCTAATTACAATCATACTGTATTTTATAAGAAACAAAATAACAAAACAATTCTTATAACATTTATATACATTAACAATATTATGATTATTAGCAAAACTATTACTATAATAACAGCATTTAAACATGCATTAAGACAATACATTACATTCACTGACAGTAACAAAATACATTAGTTACTTGGCATTGAAATAAGCTAAGATAGACCTTAACAAATGATTAGCTTACAGTAAAAGCATTATATTGAAAGTATAATCAAGCATTACCACTTTGAAAACAAAAAGGCACTACAAACACTTATTACTCCTAGAATAGATCTATCCAACAATACAAATGATACATACAATACAAATGAAAGTAATAATAAAACAACACTATACATGAATATGGTAGGATTGTTAAGATATGTTGCAGATTGCACACAGCCAGACATATCTTATATTACTAGGCAATTAGCATGCTACCTACAAAAGCCCTAAATGTATCACTACAAAGTAGTGAAACATTACTTTGTGTATTTAAAATATACAACAAATTACTGGCTTCAACTTGGAAGCACAAATGCCTTAAAACTACAAGACTATTGTGATACAGACAGACAAATGATGGAAGGACATAAAGTAATAAACAGCTATGTCTTTCAATTAGCTAAATCGACCATATCCTGGTCAAGCAAACAGCAAAACCTGGTACTACTATCTGTTTACAAAGCTGAGTTGTAAGCACTAGCATATGCTACTCAAGAAGCCATTTGGCTCAAACGATTTGCTGAAGAGGTACTACAGACTGAATCAGCACCCATTACAATTTATTGCAATAACTAAGGTGTAATAAAGACTGTAAAGTCTGACAAAATAATGTACAACACTCACACTAAACACCTTGATTTACAAAAAGACTTTGTACAATGTTATATTCAAAATGATTACATCAATGTATGCTATGTCCAATCACAGAACCAATTAGCAGACATTCTTACAAAAGCTCTCCACGTCCTACAGATCAAGCATCTAATCAAACTATTAGGCATATAGTCTTAGTTCTTAATTAATGCTTGAAGGGGAGTATTAGATTGTGCTCTAGATTAGGAAATCCCTAATTACCTTATGTAGCATTACTACACTTAGAATGTTCTAGACTATCAGACTTCACTATGTAGTATATAAGGTAGACACTTGCTTAATGTCTTAATAAGAGAGAGTTTGGGGGCACTCCTGCTACACTTGTTAAAAATAGACAATACTATAGTCTTGTTAATTTAAAAGAGTATATTATCAAGTAAAGCTAAGTAAATATTGTGTAATTAGTTGAGTCAGACTTTTGTACTAATTACTTTCTAAATACAGGAGGGCTAAAGACTTTTAGATTCATCTGTAGTAAAAATGAAAATAACTTTGTAAGTACCTTTTGTAAATGTACAGAAATAAATAGAAGCAAACACTCAACCTTGTAAATAAAGGGTTACTAAAAACTCTGACAAGTATTATAAGTCAGGAATATACAGTTACTATAGTAGGAATCTTTACAATGATTATAGTGACTAAATTTAGATGTTTATTATAGTTCAGCTTATTATTTACTAAATGTGTTTGAATTTTGTATGTGTGCTGAAATTATGTATAACTATAAGAGCTTGCTACTACCTGATCTCTTGTATTCTGAGAAGCTGTCAGAACTCAGAGTATGACTTATACTAGTAGAAACTTGCTAATCTTTTAATTATACAAGTATTTTCTATAATGACTATTTCTGTTAGTTTCTTTGTTACAGAATACAAAATGAGTGACCTTAAAGTGCTCAGATGTAGCTTGTAGTGTAAGCATACATTCCTTGTACAAAACTATTATGAATTAGAATGATTGTTTTGTTATCTCTTACTGCTCAGAAAGAGGAGTAAACTCAAAAATCTTATAGTGTATAATAAATTCACTACATGTATACATGTATACAAAGCAAACCATGTTGAAATGTATAAACCTTAGTTTATCAAAATACATTCAAGCAAACAGAAACACAAAAAGTCCAAAAATGTATACAGAGAAGATTGAATTCTTTGTCAAAAGTCATGATTTAAACCAGGACCTGTGTACATCATAAGTGGATCTGAGTCTAGTCAATCATCCAATCAGCTCAATATGTCCTTTTTCTTAACATGAATAAATCACTGACAATAATTGGGGTAATCCTAAAGCTCAAAGCTCTATGAAATTTGTCTTTAGACAATTACACAATATGTCCCACTTGAATTAGACCTCTCCTCATCCATAGGAGCCTCTGCCTCAGGCTGGTTGGCTATAAAACAGTATGTTCTACTTGAGTTACTCGTTTCGTTTGATACTGGGATGCTTGTACTGCTCTCGGAGGAAGTGGTGCTAATGATGGAGATGGTGGTGAATGTGTCCATTACTGAATGCGTTTGTAGAGTAAAATATGGAGGATATACTTGATGGGGTTCGGAATGTTTGGTGTTTACTGGGTCTGGAGACTTTGGTGAGTCGACAAAGAGCGAAGTCTCACTGTTTTATACTTAGGCTTCCGAGACTCTGGCCGGCTCCATACATAATTCCAAAGCGCCGTTTCTTCTAATATGGAAGAAGCAGAGGTGGAGGATAAAGCACTTGACACACGCTCCATACAAAGACTGTGGCCAGATTTTCATTTTCTTCTCATATACTTAATTGACAATAATAATAATGGAAAGCTATGAATATTATACGCCCGAGCATTGGTCCGAGTGCGAGACGAACTTGAAACACAACTTCTTGCAAAATCGTTGAAATGTAATATACAAATATTTATATACGCCAGTGGTATGGTATGGTATGGTATAGTGTACTATGTAGGATCAAATCTGTCCATGAATTTGTCTCAGCCGAGATAATTCCAGAGAGTTCACAACCACCCAAATTCCCGGTCTCAGTCTTGGATTGGTCTGCTAATTCTATTGCTCCTCAGACTGAGTGTCTAATTCATTTCCCTTCTTAAACAAACTGAGACAACTACCAAAAAAGGCAAATAAACAAAAAGGATTATAAACTTGCTTGGCCTCTCACGACAAATAGTATTCACTCATGTATTCTCATGAAACAGGATCCGGTTTTGGAGTCGTTTAAGAGGGAAAACCTTTGGAGACACCAAAGAGGTTTACATACATACACTGCACAAAATTGTTCCCAAAATGCGAATTACAAGTAATAGTACGTATCTGTTATTTCGTGCACTCAGTGGCAATGATGTTCGATAAGCCAAGGCACGATTAGGAGAAATTGAGGATGTCAGTCCATTCCACGCCCATGCGATAAAAGAGTGATTCCTAAATGGTCTCCGTGATTAATAATTATTGATCATTCCTCAATAAAAACATTTGAGAACATGTAGAAATGGAGATGGAGCTCGGAACCTGGAACGTAGAGTCCGGAGTTAAAATCCAGTCCGCGTGTCTGTGCCGTGCTGTACTAAGAATACACGTAACGTAACAATAAGAATATGGACAATGGTACTACGCTAAAAATATCTCGGAGCAAAAGCTTGGTACATACAAATACTGGTAAATAATAAAAGAAGAGGTAAACAGTTAGGTACCGATCGGTCGTGTGCGTGTTTCGCAGCACTAGAGTGAAATTATGAAGGTGGGAAGATAAGATGGTGGGTTTGTGGAGATTCTGAAACATAGGTTCTCGTAGGGATATGAATATTGAATAGTAACTGTCCGTTAACTCGTTGGTTACTTGGAAGTCTTTTCATCCGAGTGAGTGAAGTGAGTGCGACGGAGAACTCAGTCTGCAGGTATATGAAACTTGAGACATGACTTGCTTGAATCCTTCATCATCAGTCAGGTACTACATAATAGTAATACAGAACTGGAGGGGTCTGACTTGCATACCAGCAATCCCATCGCATCTCATATGCGGTCAATCACAGAGAATGTGGATGTATGATGAATCCGACCGCCGTCTGTTATCAAGTATCAAACCTCCGAAGACCTGTTCGGCGGAGAATATGCATGCCGTTCTCCCCGAGGTATATCCAACGTCTTCGGAAACGCATTATCAACAAATACGAAATCAATATTGCGCTCTCGGCAAATTGTGCGTAGCAATTCCGAAATAATATCCTGTCCTCTCTGAATACCTCTTTGAATAGTAATTTGATCCATATAATAAGGCTGATCGGTCAGAGCATCCAAGTCCCAACCTTCCAAGATATTCTGATCGAGAGGCGGAGAGCGTGTGATGACCACCTTGCAAAGATGGGGGAGGGTCGGTAGGCGTTCGAGGATGAACTTCTCAATTCCTACTGAGGAAAACCAGACTTGGAGATCTTGCAGATCTGAATTTGGCGAAGCTGGAATGGATGTTGGAGTAGAGGGATGGTCATAGTTGTCTTCGAGATGTATCGTGAGTATTTCTAAGGAAGGAGGGAGGTTGAAGGGTCCGCATACACTGCACAAGTTCGATTGGGAGAAGAACATCTCCAAATTCTCCAAGTTACTTGCCGATTTCAAGACGTTAGAATAGAATTGTCCAGGAACGGATGTAGATGGACCGCAGCCTGCTCCTAAGTTATGGATTGGTGATTGATGAATCACCAATTTAAGACTCTTTTCAATTCCGGGAAGACAATCTCGCATTACTGCATGAAGACTTGAAGAGTTTGAGGGCGATAGGAAGTTCAGAGAGTTACATTCTAAGTATATGGATAGGGAGTCTAGGGAGAAGGAGTTGCGGGATTTGAGAAGCCATGTTAGGTCATCCTTACAGAGGTCTTCGAATCCGGAGAGAAATAAATCAATTGTCTTTAACTGAGGTGGTGGATGCTCGTCCCAATTGAGTTCGAGATCGAAATCGGAATCTTTGTTTGTAGTGAACGAGAGCGCGTCGCTGGACCACTAACGAACCGAAAGATACTTCAAGGAAGATAGTTTCGGGAGGTAGTGGTATAAACCACGCAGTTCACCACAAGTGTTAAATAATCGTTCGTTTGGACCTGTTAGTGGTCGATGATGTTTGAGCCATAAGTTCTCGAGGTTGGAGAAGAGGTCTGTGATGATCCCGAGACACGTATCAATATGGCACGATGGGGGAGGGTGTCCGTTGCTCCAGACAAGCGATGTGTTGAATACTAGGGAGGGTGTTCGTTTGAGAAGCGATTCTAATTCCCGGATATCGCATTCCGTAGCGCCAATATCCCCATCATTAAATGTCCAGTAAATGATCATTTCTGTGATCCATGGTCCACAGAGAGGACTTAGGAGGAAGTCATTGATATACTGGTTTGGAATGACAGTTCGACTGCATAGTCCTCTTTGTGCTGCTGATGCCCACAACCTGTGGACGAGGGTCATGTTCCGAAGATCGGAGCCATTGGAATCGAGTGAATTGTCTGACGAGAAATCATGGCCGCTATACCTAATGGCAGTCTATCATCTACTACTTGATCAACTACCAAGCCCAGTATATCTCGTGGAATTCCCCTTGGCACCATTATATTCAGACTGGACCCATCACGCTGGAGCAGAGCTACAGCGGCGTCTCGCTCCAGAACATCCTTCTGTCGACAAGTAGAGATGTACGAGAACATATCCCATATACTGTCAAACGTAACATCGTCAGAGTTGAAGTCCGGATCAACAATGACATCAAAGACTTCCTTGAAAAAGGAGATAGGGAAGTAGTTCTCGAGAAAGAGGCCAGCGAGCTTCGCATCGGAGTACGTCTTGAAGCGGAGGTCTGTACACAGTCTGCAGGATTTGTGACTCCATGCAGGTACGCTGTCGGGTACGTCGGCCATTATACCAGTTGTACCAGGAGGAAAGTGATGAACTAAGAACAGCTGGGCTGGGCCGGGAGAGAACTGATGGGGAAATTTTGGTCTATCGGTTTGAGTCGATGATGGTCTGAATTGTTACTCCGAAGATCCCCTTTTTATTTTGGCTCTGTGCGAAAACTTCCCTTTTCGAAAACAAACAAACAAAAACAAACAAAAAATTACAGAAAGACGAATCCAACCCATGTGTCTGTACCATTCTATACTAAGAATTCAAGAAAGAATACAGTAAGAATCAAATCCATACACTAGTAAAGCACTAGAAAATATCTCAGATCAAAAATTCCGATCCAATAAATAGAAAGTATAAAGTGCAGCAGTACATAGAAAATACTGATATTAATAATAAGAGAAGCAAAATAGTTACAATAATGTGAGGATGAGAAAGCAAGTTTCTTAGGGATCATAAGAGCCTTGTATAGATATAAATAACATAGCTGTCTGTTAACTCGTTGGCTATTTGGAAGTCCATTCATTCGAGCGTGTGAGTGAAGTGACTCAAGTGAGTGTGACGCAGAATTCAGTCTGCAAGTGTACGAAACTTGAGACACGACTCGCTTGAATCCTTCATCACCAGTCAGGTACGTAATATTAATACGGAACTGGACGAAACTTGCTTGTATAACAGCAATCCCAGCGCATCTCATACATAGCAGACAATCACGGAGAGAATGTAAATGTATGATGAATCCGATCTCCGGTCTGTCATCAAACATCAAGGTTCCGACGGACGCTGAGAATCTGAGACAGGGTATGTCATACCCTACGCGGGATATCCCACCCTCTCGGAAACGCGTTGTCGATAAAGACGAAATCGACATCGCGCTGTTCAAGAATCGTGCGGAGGGGTTCAGAAAGGATAGCTTTAACCTCTCCTCTTTGAATACCTCTTTGAATAGCAGTTTGACCCATGTCGTCCATGCGAGGGATTAGAGCATCCAAGTCCCAACCCTCCAAAGTATACAGATCGAGAGCCGGGGATCGTGTAACGAGGATTTTCCGTAAATGAGGGAGGAAAGGGAGGTGGTCAAGGATGTACTTCTCGATTGCCATTGAGAACCAAACTTGGAGATCTTGGAGATCTGACGAAGCTGGAGCAGAAGTGGAAGTGGATGGAGTAGACGGGTGGTTGCGGTCGTCTTCGAGATGAATTGCAAGGTTCTCTAAAGAAGGCGGTAAATCGAACGGTCCGTATATAATCCTATTCCTCAAGTCCGACTCTCCAAAGAAGAAAAACAACTCCAAGTTCTTCAAGTTACTCGCCAATTCTAAAAGGCGAGAATAAAATTGTCCAGGAACGGATCCGGATATCCCTGTGTCTGCCACCCTGTAGTCTAGAATGGGTGATCGATAAATGACTAATTTCAGCTTCTTTATCTCGGGAAGACAATCTCGTAAGGCTCCTTGAAGTCTTGAGGATGAAGGAACACCTAGGGAGTAGCGTTCTAAGTATAGGGATAGGGAGTCGAGGGAGAAGGAGCCACGCTTCTCGAGAAGCCAGGTAAGATCGTCCTTTCGTGGGTCTCCAGAGAGGTACAAGTCGACGGTCTTTAATCCAGGTGGAGGATGCTCGTCCCAAATGAGTTGGCGGTCGGAATCGGAATCGGAATAGGGATCGTCGAAGTCGTCGCTGGACCACCAACGAATCGAAAGGTATTTCAGAGAGGACAGTTTCGGGAGGTAGTGGTATAAACTACGCAGTTCACAACAATTGTTAAATGATCGTTCGTTTGGAATTTCTATTGTTAGTGGTCGATGATGTTTGAGCCATAAGTTCTCGAGGTTGGGTAAGAGGTCTGTAATTATCTCTAGACACGTGTCGATACACCGAGAATCAGATGACAAATGTCCAACATTTCCAGTATTTTCAGTATTCCAGACGAGTGAAGTAGTGAATACTAAAGACCGGATGTTAGGTGTCCGCTCGAGTAAGGACTCTAAAGCCCAGATATTATCTTTCATAGTACCGACGATGTCTCCGTTATTTGATTTATTGAAGGGCCAGTAGATGATCATTTCTGTTATCCATGGGCCGCAGAGAGAGCTTAGGAGGAAGTCGGCTATGTGTTGAGATGGTATGACTGCACGACGGCGGAGACCTCTTTGTGCGGCGGATGTCCAGGAACGGTGGACGAGGGACATGTTTTGGAGGTCTGGACTGTTGGAGGTGAAAGCGTTGGTTGGTCTGGGGTCCATTGCTGCTATACCTAGCGGCAGTCTACCGTCTACTAGTTGATCGACTACCAAGTTTAATATGTCTCGCGGAACTCCCCCTGCCATTCTCATCTCCCTCTGCTTCGAATATTCATCATTGTGATCATCTTCAAGCGGAGCTACAGCGGTATCCCTCTCCATCCCATCCTTACTCCTCCTTGCAGACACATACTCAAATATATCCCATATATCTTTAAACGTAATGTCTTCAGATTTGAAGTCCGGATCAACAACAGCATTAAAGACTTTCTCGAACAAGGTGACAGGGAAGTTATTCTCGATTAAAAGGCCAGCGAGCTTCGCATCGGAGTACGTCCTGAAGCAGAGGTTTGAACACAGTCTGCGGGATTTGTGAGTCCTTGCAGGCAGATCGCCGTCAGGTATGTCAGGCATTAAAACTTGAACGTGGGAGAGCAAGGGTTAACTAGGCAGGGACGGACGAGGACTGATGAGGAAATTTTGGTCTGTCGTCGGATGAAGTTTTGATGATGCTGAATTGAGAGAGAGTCAATGAGACAAGAGTGTCTCGGCTCTTCCATTCTTGTACAAACACGTCCACATTTTTGTACTCTGTCCTGAAATTTTCATATCTTCAAAAATTCTAATTTGTTTTGTTGGAAGTCAATTTTTTCTTAGAAAGTTAAAATAAAATAAAATACACAGTACTTAGAATATTTAAGATACCTGTCATTAAGTATTACTGTCATTAAGTATAATCTGTCAACAAGCATGAAACTTAAGTCTTACAAACACTAGAGAATGCTTTCTAACCTAACAAGTATTACAGCATGTGTCTGCCAAACATAGTGCTTAATTAATAATAACAGGTTTACTATATTATATGAACTCTACTTAAACCAGACCTCTCCTTGTCTGTAAGAGGCTCAGTCTCAGGCCAGATTATAATAATACAATACAATAAATTCTACATAAGCTACCACATCACGAAAAAGTTGCAACAAATGTAATTAATAATAGCAAAAGTAATCTAATTATATAATTTCATAAGTATTACAATCCAAATAGTAATTATATTTTACTTATAATACAGTTCTAATGATTGTATATTTTAACAAGTGTAGCAGGAGTGCCCCAAATACTCTCTCTTATTGAGACATCAAGTGAGTGTCTGCCTTATATACTACATAGTGAAGTCCAATAGTCTGAGACATTCCAAGCACAGTAACTCTACATAAGGCAATTGGGGATTTCCTAATCCAGAGTGCAATCTAATACTCCCCTTCAAGCATTAATTAAGAACTAGGACTGTATGCCTAATAGTTTGTTTAGATACTTGATCTGTAGGATGTGGAGAGCTTTTGTAAGAATGTCTGCTAATTGGTTCTGTGATTGGACATAGCATACATTGATGTAATCATTTTGAATATAACATTGTACAAAGTCTTTTTGTAAATCAAGGTGTTTAGTACAAGTGTTGTACATTATTTTGTCAGACTTTACAGTCTTTATTGTACCTTGATTATCACAATAAATTGTAATAGGTGCTGATTCAGTCTGTAGTACTTCTTTGGCAAATTGTTTGAGCCAAATAGCTTCTTGAGTAGCATATGCTAGTGCTTACAACTCTACTTTGTAAACAGATAGTGGTACCAGGTTTTGCTGTTTGCTTGACTAGGATATGGTTGATTTAGCTAATTGAAAGATGTAGCTGTTTATTACTTTATGTCCTTCTGTCATTTGTCTGTCTGCATCACAATAGCCTTGTAGTTTTAAGGCATTTGTGCTTCCAAGTTGAAGCCAGCAATTTGTTGTATATTTTAAATATGTAAAGCAATGTTTCATTACTTTGTAGTGATGCATTTAGGGCTTTTGTAAGTAGTATGCTAATTGCCCAGTAATATAAGATATGTCTGGCTGTGTACAATCTGTAACATATCTTAATGATCCTACCATATTCATGTATAGTATTGTTTTACTATTACTTTCGTTTGTATCATACATATTGTTTGTATTGTTAGATAGATCTATTCTAGGAGTAATAAGTGTTTGTAGTGTCTTTTTGTTTTCAAAGTAGTAATGCTTGATTATACTTTCAATATAATGCTTTTACTGTAAGCTAATTGTTTGTTGAGGTCCATCTTAGCTTATTTCAATACTAAGTAACTAATGTATTTTGTTACTGTTAGTGAATGTAACGTGTTGTCTTAATGTATGTTTAAATGCTGTTATTATAGTAATAGTTTCACTAATAATTGTAATATTGTTAATGTGCATAAATGTTACAAGAATTGTTTTATTATTTCGTTTCTTATAAAATACAGTGTGATTGTAATTAGCTTGTTCTAATCTGATCTTAAGCAGTAGTTCAGTAATCTTTTTATACTATCATCTACCTACTTGTTTCAATCTGTATAATGCTTTATTTAAGTATAATGCTTGTCCAGGTTTAATATCTGTAAGTAGCCTGCCTGACAGTAGTTTCACATAAATGAGTTTGTCCTCATTTAGTTCTCTGTAAAGATATGTGGATTTTACATTTATCTGATGTATTTTGTAGTTCTTAGATGCTACCCAAGATAACAATAATTGTACTGTTAATAGTTTTGTTACTAGGGCAAATAAGTTGTCAGAATAGAAGTCTATTCTATTCTTTTGAGTGTATCCTTACACTATAAATTGTGCTTTGTATTTGTCTATTTGGCTGTTAGCTAGTCTTTTGATTTTATAGACAAATTTTGTTCCAATTATATTTGTATTTGTAGGGGGGATAGCATATATCTATGTGTTTTGTTGTTAAAGTGACTGTATTTCATCCTTCATAGCTTTGATCCACTGTTCTTTGTCTATGTGTGTTATAGTATTGTAATATGTTAATGGATTGCTATAGATTTTGTTAAGGAATTTGTTAAATTCTGTTAGATACATAATTAGGTTTATATTGTCTTTGTAATTTAAACCTATAGTTTGTTTAACCAGTCTTTGCTCTTGTGTAGAGTGTTGTATAACAGGTTTTTTATCTTTATTATTGTTATTAGGAAGAGTTTTATCATTGTTTGATGTATCACTGTTATGATTATTCTCCCCTTCAATCCTAGACATTAGTTTGTCTATGAATTGTATGTTACGTTCAACAGTAACTTTATTATTATA